ATTCAGTGAAGCATTGGATTAACCAAAAGTGACAGTAAAGATTTTGACATTTCAAATCAATGTTTTTAATTAGAATTTTCATCAAAGAATCTTGGAAAAAATGTATCACGTTTCCGTAAAAATATTAAGCAGCACAACTTTTTTTCAACATTGATAATAATATAAATATTAGAATTATGTCTAACATGGCACTGAAGACTGGAGTAAAGGCTGCCGAAATTCAGCTTTGCATGACAGGAAAAAAAAATCACATTTTAAAATGAGCATAATGAACATAAGAAGCATAAGAAACTTTTTTACTTAACATTTTTTTTAAAAATCTTACAGACCCCAAACTTTTGAACGGTAGTGCACCGCAGTAATACAATGGTATTCTTGAAAGTACAATTTAAATTAATTTCTGTACCATGTTAAATATCAAATACTGAGCCATGGTACTGATACAGTATTCCAAAGGAGATAAAATGCAGACCTATGTAACACACACCACACAAGAGTGCACTCTAGAAAAAGTCCTTTTATTAAAGTCATCAGAGTTTTTTTCTTTCAATTATTTGAGCCTCTTTTTGTTCTCCGATTCTTACAGCTGCTGTCTATCTGTCCAAGGCTTCTGTAAACTTCAATTTATGATGTTTTTTTTCCACTCGGTGAGGATTTAATAGTGAGAGAACAGCGGTGGAAGAGCTGGAGGGGTGCTAACACAACCCTACTGCTCTATTAATACACCTTATGTAACCTATCTGAATGTCAGTGTCCCTGTGTCTTTCCCAGACAACTTCTGCTCTGAGTCACTGCATTCACCACAAAATGCAGCCAAGCGGCCACAGAAATGAGCGAACATCAGAAACATATTCATTAACTAATTGTTCTCACACACACAGGATGAGTCACTGAATTTGCTGAGGTTCCCATCAACACCCCGGGCATGTGGTTGCCATGGATACATGGCCCCTTCCTGGGGAGTCATAATGTCAGTATAACACAACTGTAAATGCATTTCCCAGTTATATTGAGCACATGGAACAAGTAGTTCTAAGAGTTCTAAGCTTGAGTTCTGAGTTCTAAATATATATTATTTATGGCCATTTTGTCTTCATGGAAAAGCAAAGTGCAGAATAACAGGAGAGTATTGAGAGAAAGAGATAGGTAGGAAGGAAGGAAGGGTCTTCGATGTGGTTATAGTGAAATTAAATGTAGTGACATGCTTCCTGAGTCACTACAAGCAATACAGTAAGTAGTAAATATAATGAATGAATGATTTTCATTTCTGTAACTAAAATGCAGTTATGCAAAACAGTCAATACATACATGCAATATAAACTCATTCAGCAAAGCTGCATTTTATTTATTTATTTTATTAGGAGTTTTAACTTTACTCGAAAATCGACGAAATCAGCCACAACAATCAAGATAGTATAAGTTTGGTTGGATAGTAAGAGCAAAACCGTAAGCATTTATAGTCTTCATGGAAAAGCAAAGTGCAGAATAACAGGAGAGTATTGAGAGAAAGAGATAGGTAGGAAGGAAGGAAGGAAGGAAGGGTCTTCGATGTGGTTATAGTGAAATTAAATGTAGTGACATGCTTCCTGAGTCACTACAAGCAATACAGTAAGTAGTAAATATAATGAATGAATGATTTTCATTTCTGTAACTAAAAAACAGTCAATACATACATGCAATATAAACTCATTCAGCAAAGCTGCATTTTATTTATTTATTTTATTAGGAGTTTTAACTTTACTCGAAAATCGACGAAATCAGCCACAACAATCAAGATAGTATAAGTTTGGTTGGATAGTAAGAGCAAAACCGTAAGCATTTATTTACTAGCTGTTTATTTTAACAGGTATCACAAATTATAAACACTGACTGAATATCTTGTTTGTTCTTCTTTATAACTTTGAAATACCAACCAAACAAAACACAATGAAACACAACACACAACACAAAACAGCACACAAAACAAAACAGCACACAACACAACACAACACACAACACAAAACAGCACACAACACAAAACAGCACACAAAACAAAACAGCACACAACACAAAACAGCACACAACACAAAACAGCACACAACACAACACAACACACAACACAAAACAGCACACAACACAAAACAGCACACAACACAACACAACACACAACACAAAACAGCACACAACACAAAACAGCACACAAAACAAAACAGCACACAAAACAAAACAGCACACAAAACACACAACACAACACACAACAAAACAACACAACACACAACACAACAAAACAACACAACACACAACACAACACACAAAACAAACACAACAAAACAACACAACACACAAAACAAAACAGCACACAAAACAAAACACACAAAACAAAACATCTGTCTGTTACTGACAAATCTAGGCAGAAAACTTGAATCAAGTGGGGCCGGGGCGACCAGTATTCTTAGGAAACTTGTTTGGAAACATCTTTCCATTTGATGACACAAGTGATGCAGCAACGGCTTACAAACAGCTGCCTCTGTATAGAAGGGATGGCAAGTTTGACTCGTTTACACTTAGCGTTTGCTTTAAGGAACGTGTAAAAAAAAATAAAAATAAATGATTCAGGGTATATTTACATGAAAATGTCTACTAAAAACGGAAAAGTTTTTCCTTTGTGTTCTTGAGTTTTGTGTACAGACAACAACATTGTCAAATCGATCCCCGTTCATATGGATTGATGAAAGTGACAAAAAATGTTTAAGCCCCCAAAATGCAGTTGTCCTGTATGTATGTATGTGTATATATATATATATATATATATATATATATGAACAGCCAAAAAGCAAAACACAAAATAAAGAAATTTTCAGTTGAACTTGAAAATGGCGCCATGTAAACAAACTAAATTATTTCACACCATGGTGTAATAAATTATGTAATCACATGGTCACTGAAGTCCCAGCGTGACATAGGCCTATATTGTAAGCTATAAAATGTTTCAAACCAATATGTAGGCACATATTACTAGTCTTTATTTTTTCTTCAATTAATATTTTACTAAATGTGTTTGTTGTAATAGCTTGTCCTAATTCAGTTCGCAGTCATGATTGCACAAGTGATCACTCATTATTTTCTCAACTCATTAGGAATTAGATTTCCTCTGAAGAGCCAGTTTTCGGCTGAGTGAGTCAGCCAGCTGTTGAATTGAGAACTGCTTGTGATGGAGATTTTGTGAACCAGTTCAACCAACTGATTGAAAAGACCTGACTCATATATTGTAAGAATTTTGTGTCCTTCGCATGAAAGTGAAATATGCATGTTCTTCGTTTTAAACGACTGACCTTTGTGAAACCCTTGGGGTGTCCAAACTCGGTCCTGGAGGGCCACTGTGTCCTGCTGAGTTTAGCTCCAACTTTCCTCAACACACCCACCTGGAAGTTTCTAGTAGGGCTGCACGAAAAATCGAAATGGAATCGAGATCGTGATTCGACAGAAGCTGCGACTGTCATGCGTATCTTTCAGTGAAGCACGGTTCTGTGATCAGCAGTAAATCTCCATCCGAAGGCCAGAGGGCGCTCTCGCGCTGAAACTCCCAAATACGCCTCGCAGAAGAAACCCAGAAAATGCCTATCGCTGCAGCTGAATAAACAGAAGATTCAACTGCTTTCATTGATTCAACGTGACGAATAAACACGACTACGGCAATATACGGTTTATCGGAGTTCTTATTATAATTTTCATTAAAATAAAGTATATTTATAATGCAATGCCTTTATCACTACTTAGATACTATGAAACATGTTGCGTGCCTTATTCTACGTAAGAAGCCACATCATCTCACAGAAGGATTTATTTCAAACACTCGACTGACGTTATGAAGTGAGTTTGGAGTAAAAATGTTATTAAATGTGGCATTTTCACATGCTTTCAGATGGAGCAGCATTTACTTCCCAGAGCCGTAATTCACTGAGAAGCTATGCAAACAGCTGTCATTATCGCGAACGATTTCTTCGATTTCAGAATCGCGCAATAAAATCGTCTGCGATTTTTTTTGCGTAACTTGTCAGTGAACTACGGCTATGTGTAGTAAATTCTGCTCCATCTGAAAGCACGTGATGATGATTTCCTGCTGATTACAGAACCGGCTTTACTAACAAAATGCGTATGACAATCGCATTCGATTAATCGTGCAGCCCTAGTTTCTAGTGTGCCTAGTAAGATCTTGGTTAGCTGGTTCAGGTGTGTTTAATTGCGGCTGGAGCTAAACTTTGCAGCACAGTGGCCCTACAGGAGCAGGATTGGACACCCAATTTAGAGCCAAAGATGATGGTATTTCCCAATAATAGGAGCATCTTGGTTCCACTTGACATCCACTGTATGGACAAGTACAAATACAATGGAAGGCAACGGCAACCAAAAATGTTTGGCACTCTTTAAAATAAAGAAATTCATTGCAGTTGTTACTAATTGATTCGGTTCATGGCTTATAACTCTTTAACTGAGACTTTTTTTTTTTAAATCCCAATGGGAAAGACACTTGAGGAACCAAGGCCACTGGAAAAAGTGGGTGGGCACTGTTGCACTCTATAGTCAGATTTACAGAATTGACAACCACGTGACTTCCAAAAACACAAAAAGATGACATGAAATGTGGGAAAACACAGGTTGGACCGTGAAATAGAGATGCTTCCCTTGACAAAGCTCTGAGACAATGTTGACACAATCAGTGTTTACACAGTCTACACACACACACACAATCCATGAGTTTCCCAGCAGACAGTTATGGGCCTGCTGTAAATAATTCACTAGTGGCTTATCAAAGATGCACATATAGAACTCCAGAGTCAGATTACACTCATATAACAATTGAGGTGCCATTTATTTGAGTGTATTTGTTTTATTTATAACTTTATAGCATTCTGGGAACTCAGGCGCCCGAGCTACCCCAATGCTGTCTAGGTAAGCAGTGCACTGGGTTTTGAGACGCAGCCTGCGAGTCTATTTCCAGCGCTTTATCTTTATCCGCTTACCTTTGAGCTGCGGGAGCGCAGAGATCTCCGGAGCCGCAGGCCTGCTGCTGCTCGCCGCGAACTGAGACGAGCCCTGACAGCCCCTCTGCCTCTGAGCCTTCCTCACCGATTTCCGCGTGAATCCATCCACTTTCTCGGACGCAGATATCGCCGACATTTCCAAAGCGGGGCTATCCAACGAGCTGCGTTTAGTGACTGGATGCGCCCTATATGCGTTTTCTAGTCTGACTGACGTCCCATTGACTGCGCTGTTTATTAAACTCACAAGACCCCATCTAATGACACGCACTGTGAAGCCCCTCACGAAGGCTGCATGTTCTCTAACAACCCACGGGTATCCTGCGATGACAATTTGGTCAGGTATGACTGCAAAAACGTAGTTAATAGTAGCGTTAGGTTTTTATCATGCCGAAATGTTTAGCACGAAGCGCGCCTTATTAAACCTGTTACTCCACGTAACACAACTCAAAGTCGGCCGCCACACAGCGAGTCACGGTGAACCAGCCGCCTGGAACTGGCTCCATGTATCGGCGACGCGAGGAAAGCGTATAGCGTGAGTCCGCTGAACTTCATTCAGCTGCTGTTGCGCCTCGCTGGGGTCTAAAAATAAAACCCCGTGGCGCGCCTGAGTGACAGAACGCTCATCCAATGAGCGCTCGCGCAGACAGTAAGCTCCGCCCCTTGGCCAATCAGATTCTCGTTTTAATGGTATTTCGGGAAATATACAAAGTCAGAGATGAACTCCAATGAACACAGGCAACAAATGTTCACAAACGTAGAACCACTCAAAAGAACAAAACGTGCACATGCAAGAACAAAATATCAACGAGAAATCACAAAATAACAGTGCGCTTAAACACATGAGTTTGCGAGACTTGTAGCCAGTCAAACGAGTCGGGTTCACCCCCCAAAAAAACTGCTCAAAGCTCAGCCCGTTCCAAACCTATATGCCTCAATTTCTTCAAAAATAGATGAATTATAGTGATCTGACCGTATCAGTTCATGCATCGTTTTTTTCCATGACTTTGGGTGTCATTTTACATCAGAGAAATCAAGTCACATGGGTTTGAAATGACCATTTTTTTATTTCTAGGCTAACCAGTTAAGTACACAGTATTGCATATTTTGATTTAAAATGGGTTATTATAGCTAAAACTGAACTTCTCGAATCCAAAAGTAAAATAGTTTTGACCAACCATGCTAAACACCGGAGGCAAAAATCACAAACAAGACAAGAACAAGCAGGATCAAAACACGGAAGCCAGACTTTCCGGTCAAATCACATTCCACACCTGCAAACTTAAGAAACAGCCCGTGTCACGGAGAACGTAAAACCGGTTTAAATCATTGCACAACTCTCTGCACTATAGGTGATCAATAACTAAAAAGCACCGAGCTAACTGAAAATGGATTTGTTATGTAAAGTGCTGCTTTACAATCAATAGAGAACTCTGAAAATGGGACCCACGTTCAGGGTCAGACAAGCTTGAAAGGGCATCACAAAAATATTAAAGCACAGACACTACGCTCTTAAGATTGACCTAGAATCTGATATGAATGCAGTTACTTGAAAATGCGTGTTAAACTATTTTCAGTGCATTACAGATAGATGTGGAAGCGTCAGAAAACTTGTAGTTTAATTTGCATTGTCGAATGACTTCGTAACGTTTACCGAAACGATCATCAATATGACCCCTATTGAAACGTATACATATTTAAAAACAATTCGATAAAAAGAATATATACACACACACACACACACACACATCACATACATAAATACATAAGCTTGGTCTCAAAAAAACTGGACCTGAACTTAAACTATAGATGTGTCGTATTGAGACAGACTCGGATATCTTGCCACACGATGATCAGTCTTGGGTTCTTTTCACAAAGTAGCAAGAGATTTTTTTCGTGGGTCTGGATGGTGATGCTTTCTTGGTTGGCGGTGAAGAGACGACTCTTATTGGACATGGTGAGACTGCTGCCTAAAAAGAAAAAGAACAAAAAAAAAAAAAAGAGACATACAAATTTTTAGAGAACTACTAAATGAATAACAAAGGAGTCCCTAGTGGGGAAAGAAAAAGAACAAAAAAAAAAAAAAAGAGACATACAAATTTTTAGAGAACTACTAAATGAATAACAAAGGAGTCCCTAGTGGGGAAAAACATTTTTTTAAACGTATTTGAAATACATTTATTTTGTGCCAAGTATACTACAAATACATTTTACGTATTTATGTGCTTACTAAAAATAACCCTGCAATTTTACTTTTGGTATACTAAACTGGTATATTTAAAGACTGCTAAATTGTGCCAAAGTAGTGCTGGAGTCCAACTAAAGATACGCTCCAGTATATCTGATTGTGCTGACGTGAAACTCTTGCACGTATACTTCAGGTAGCATTTAAATATCTTGCATTTAAAGACTGATATTATTCAAAGATCATACAATCCTAATTAATAGTGATATTAAAACATTTTAGACATAATATTAGGAAATGTGCATTGTGCGATAAAGAACACTCCAAATAAAGCCGAATTATAGTATTATATCAGTAAGTGGTGTCAATAAATGTTAATGGATTTTAAGTATACTTAGTATGACAAATGTATTTTAAATAAACCATGGCATTTGTTTACTAGGGAATATTGACGTAACAGACATGTTTCGAAAGTACAAACAGAAAAATATTACAAATTTAAAAAACAAAAAAAAGATTTAAAATGTAATTTATTCTGAATTTTTAGCATCATGACTCCAATCTTCAGTGTCACATGATCCTTCAGAAATCATTCTAATATGATGATTTTATGGGGAAAAAAACTTTATTTATTGTAATTTTCTAACATTATAAATGTCTTTACTGTCACTTTTGATCAATGTAATGCCTCCTTACTGAATAAAATTATTAATTTAAAAAGATCCCCAAACTTTTGAACAGTGGTGTATATTTGTTTACATTTTTAAAATAAATCTTAAATAATTTTTGCATTTTATATCATCTCAGAGTTGGTTTGGTCAACGGCTTACAACTATTGATTTTTTTTTTAATCTATATAGATTTCCATGCATCTACTCACTGGAGAGCTGTGTGTTCTTGCATCGTGCCGTTTGCTGCCGCCGTTGGGGCTTTTTGGTTCAGCTGATCCTTTAAATCTCTGGCTGATCACAGAAAGCCAATCAGACCTCCTCGGAGAGCTGTTCTCTTTGTCAGTGCCAGCTTGTCCAGCCGAGCTGAGCCTCTCCTCTGTTTGCAAACTGAATAGATCACCTTTCTCGTTCTGTGCGCTTACTGAACTCCTGCTCCTCTTTACGTCATGATACAGTTCAGACACTCCGTCACTCTCCTCTCCCAAACCAGACCCATCACCTGTTTCCAGTCGGCGCTTTGCGCGGCGTTCGGAGGAAGGGCCCTGGAGGACAGGTGTGAGCACCTTACGAAGAGGAGATGTACCGCGGCTGATCCACTGCTGGATGGACGAGGGCATTTTGGGGCTGCTGACTTTGGCAGTAGGTGCAGATGTGTTTGATGGCAGGGGTAAATCAGCACCCGTAGGGGCGCAAGCAGCAGGCTGGGGTGAAGCCAGAGAGACAGCCCTCTCGGATCCAGAACTTTTGGCTGGAGTGACTTCAACAGGGCTGTAAGGGCCTGAGAGGACAAATGGTAACCATAAATACCAATTAAAAAAAACTAATTATTTGAAATGATAAATTTATGAAAAAAATACAAATACAATACAAATATTATTATACAAATAAGTATTATTTATTTCTCTCTTTTAAACTTTGTATTTAGTATATTTTTTTTCTGTGATGCAAAGCTAATGTAAATTAATGTAAAAAATAGTTTTTGCTGCTTAATATTTTCAATAAAGGCTGTTCTTTTGAATTTGTTCAAAGAATCCTTAATGTGCCATAATTCCCACAAAAATACTAAGCAGCAAAAACTCCCTAACATAGACAAATTAGAACCATTATTAATAGGGGTGTGACGAGACACTTATCCCACGAGAACGAAACGAGATTTTTAGACTTTTTTTAAAGAAATCCTCAATGATGAAATATTTAGGGAAAAATAGTCTTTTATTCAAGTGAAAAACACAAAATGCAAAAACATTTAGGTGCATTTTGAAATCAACTTGTGCTTTATGAAATTAAACTTCTATTTTAATGAATTATATACAGCAATAAACAACGTAAACTAGAGCTGCACGATTCCGGATAAATTGAGAGATCACGATTCTGAAGGAAAAAAAAAAGATTAGAAAACTAAACAAAATAACTATTTACTAGTGGCTCTGACAAAATGTTCATTGCTTAAGTCTTTAAAAAATATATTAATTTCAAAAAAAAAAAAAATTCAAATGAATGAGTCAGTGTCTCAATTAATAAAGACCTGGGGCCTGTTCTTCGTACATCGCTAACTCAGTTAGCTGGATTTGATTCTTGATGATTTGGCATGATCTTGGATTATTTGGTTCTTCGAAGCTCATCCCGGAGTTGCGGTCATAGCAACAGGTCCGGAAGCGTAAACCTGCTCGGGGTTTATTTCATGTAAACAGGATTAGATGGCATCTTTTTAAGCAGAACTGATACTTAAAATCTGTCCGCTACCACCGCTACTTTATTACAATAGTACCATACTAATCCAGGGACAATAATTTAAAATAATAATCATTAAAAAATGTATTTAAAGATAATATAATAATGTGTAGTCTTTAATACTATAGACAGTTTTGCTCACTGAAAGATTATTCGTCATAAAATTATTACTTCATAATTGTATTGGAGGTCTTACACACATGCTATACAGATAATGTAGAGTCGTGCATTCATTTGAGCGATGACCGCTATTATGGGAGTGGCTTGATGGAGCGCAGGAGATGCAGATAACATGATCTTGACCCTTAAAATACTTTAATGCTGTCACGTAACAAATCTGTTCATATATAAAATTAAATGAATTGCTAATCGCATTGAAAAGAAATCGTGAATATAAATAATTGGGAATCATGTAAAAAATGAAAATAAAATAAAAACACTGCACATTTGGTTTTATTTTTACGATTTAGTTTTAATCCAAATGATGCATGTTCTAAGTGAGTGAACATCAAAGATCACACAACAGAAGTGCGCTCTCTCTGTCTCTGTCTCCCTACCGTTAAGTAACTTGTGCATTGTTTTACTTACTTGTTTTTGACATATCCGACCGAACTACAAACTTTCCAGTGATGTCTGTGAGAAAGATATATTCACTCGACAAGCTCGCACATCTGCGGCGCCGCGCGCTCAATCCACTCAGCGTGCTTTGTTTATCAGCTTGCGCACATCAGCTATACAGGCGTTAATATTAATATTATATTAATTGCATACATATACTTCGTAGTAGACATCCTTAACTCCTTTCTGCTCTCTGTTGTTGGTGTTTCTTTGTCTGAATATGGCACTTATCACATGCTGTGTGGTATCGGCGTTTGGTATCGAGGCATTTCAACGAGTACGAGTACGAGTACAGGAGACCAGTATCAGGCCCGATACCGATGCCAGTATCGGTACATCCCTACTAATTATTAATATAAATAATAGATAATTGAGCATTAAAATGATTTCTGACACTGAAGACTGGAGTAATGATGCTGAAAATTCTTTAGACTTTTAACGTTTTTAAATATATTAAAATAGACCATTATTTTAAATTGTAATTATATTTCACAATATTACTATTTTTGCTGTATTTTTAATCAAATAAATGCAGTCTTGGTGAGAAAAAAATCTTTAAAAAAATCTTAATTATCCCAAACTTTTAACCAGTAGCTCTGAATCTGAAATAAAATGTTTTACACGCACACACAAAGTAGAAAACTCACAAAAACAGAGAGAAACCCACCAGGTGCTCTGGGTGGTGATTGGATTTTACGAAGTGTCCAGCCTACAAGGTTTGGGTCTCGGTTCGATGAGTTTTCTCCGTCTGGTCTGCGATTCAAGCGCCAGATCCTAACGGTGTTGTCATCAGAGCAGGAAGCAATCTGCAGAAAGAATGTAGAAATGACAATATAAAACTTTTATATTGAATAAACTGTCCATACATCTAAGAGATTTGTAGTTTTTTTTTTTTTTTCTTTAAGTACCAACCTTGGTGAAATCGCTGGGGCACCAGGCCACTGATGTGACTTCCTGGCTATGGCCCTGAAGCATCATGGGAGCTTGTTTCGGGTCTGGAATCTGGAACAAAAACAAAATGTCATAAATGCAGACAGTGACCACAGATGTTCTCAGACAGACTGAGACAGGTTAGCTCTCTAGTTTTCTAGGTTGGTCCTTACCTTCCATATATAAGCATGATGGTCACTTGAACCACTGGCCAGGAACTGGTCATCTGGGCTGATACTGGACTTCACATAAAATGAGGAGTTACTGTGACCGCTGAACACAGCAACTGTGAGGGAAAAAAAAAAAGTTCCGTCAAACTACATGACCCCACTTCACATGCCTGAAAAAAAACCGGGAAGGGCAAATTGAAGGAAA